AATGACCATTTATAATGAGGTTTTTTTTCCATATATTCGCTGGCTGCATAAATGTCTTCTTTTGAGAAGTGTCTGTTTATATCTTCTTCCACTTTTTGATGGGTTTTTTTTTTTGGTTTGTTTGTTTTTTGTTTTTTGTAAATTTGCTTAAGTTCTTTGGAGATTCTGAATATAAGCCCTTTGACAGATTGGTAGATTTCAAAAATTCTCTCCCATTCTGTAAGTTGCCTTTTCACTCTGATGATAGTATCTTTTGCTATGCAGAAGCTCTTTAGTTTACTTAGATCCCATTTGTCTATTTTGGCTTTTGTTGTCATTGCTTTTAGTGTTTGAGGCATGAAATCTTTGCTCATGCCTATGTCTTGGATGGTATTGCCTAGGTTTTCTTCTAGAGTTTTTATGGTTTTATATCTTACATTTAAATCTTTAATCCATCTTGAGTTAATTTTTGTATAAGGTGTAAGGAAGGAATCCAGTTTCAGCTTTCTGCATATAGCTAACCAGTTTTCCCAATACCATGTGTTAAACAGGGAATCATTTTCCCATTACTTGTTTTTGTCAGGTTTGTTGAAAATCAGATGGTTGAAGATCAACAGCCTTGCATTCCAGGAATGAAGCTGACTTGATCATAATGGATAAGCTTCTGGATGTGCTGTCGAATTCAGTTTGCCACTGTTTTATTGAGGATTTTCGCATTGATGTCCATCAGGGCTATTAGCCTGAAATGTTCTTATTTAGTTATGTCTTGGCCAGGTTTTAGTATCAGGATGATGTTGGCCTCATAAAATGAGTTACGGAGGGTCCCCTCTTTTTCTATTGTTTGGAATAGTTTCAGAAGGAATGGTACCAGTTCCTCTTTGTACCTTTGGTAGAATTCAGCTGTGAAACCATCTGGTCCTGAACATTTTTGATTCATAGGCTATTAATTGCTGCTTCATTTTCAGACCTTGTTATTGGTCTGTGCAACTTCTTCCTTGTTTAGTCTTAGAAGGTTTTAAATGTCCAGGAATTTATCCATTTCTTCTAGATTTTCTGTTTTATTTGCATAAAGGTCTTCATAGTATTCTCTGAAGGTAGTTTGTATTTCTATGGGATTGGAGGTGATATTGCCTTTATCATTTTTTTTACTGAATCTATTTGATTCTTCTCTCTTTTCTTCTTTATTAGTCTGGCTAGTGTTCTATCTATTTTGGTGATCTTTTCAAAAAAACAGCTTTTGGATTCATTGATTTTTTTGAAGGTTTTTTTTTTTGTGTATCTATATCTAGTCCTGTTCCGAAGTTAGTTATTTCTCATCTTCTGCTGGTTTTAGAATTTGTTTGTTGTTCTTCTCTAGTTATTTTAATTGTGACATTAGGGTGTCAGTTTTAGATCTCTCCTGCTTTCTCCTTTGGGCATTTAGTGTTATAAATTTCCCTCTACACACTGCTTTAAATGTGTCTCAGAGATTCTTGGTATATTATGTCTTTGTTGTCATTGATTTCAAACAACATCTTTATTTCTGCCTTCATTTTGTTGTTTATCCAGTTGTCATTCAGGAGCAGGTTGCTCAGTTTCCATGTAGTTGTGCGGCTTTGAGTGTGTCTCTTAACAGTGTGTTCTAATTTGTTACACTGTGTTCTGAGAGACTGCTTGGTATGATTTCCATCCTTTGCATTTGCTGAGGAGTGTTTTACTTCCAATTATGTGGTCAGTATTAGAATAAGGGCAGTGTGGTGCTGAGAGGAATGTATATTCTGTGGATTTGGGGTGGAGGGTTCTGTAGATGTCTTTTAGGTCTGCTTGGTCTAGACATGAGTTCAAGTCCTGTTTATCCTTGTTAGTTTTCTGTTTTGTTGATCTGATATTGACAGTAGGGTTAAAGTCCCCTACTATTATTGTGTGGAAGTCTAAGTCTTTTTGTAATTCTCTAAGAACTTGCTCTATAAATCTGCATGCTCTTGCATTGGGTGCATATATATTTAGGAAAGTTAGCCCTTCTTGTTGCATTGATCCCTTTACCATTATGTTGTCATAATGTAAATGTACCATTTTCTTGTCTCTTTTGATCTTTTATTGTTTAAAGTCTGTTTTATCAGAGACTAGGATTGCAACCCCTGCTTGTTTTTGCTTTCCATTTGTTTGGTAAATCTTCCTCCATCTCTTTACTTTGAGACTATATGTGTCTTTGCATGTGAGATGGGTCTCCTGAATATAGCATGCTGATGGGTCTTGACTCGTTATCCATTTGCCAGTCTGTGTCTTTTAATTGGGGCATTTAGCCCATTTACATTTAAGGTTAATATTGTTATGTGTGAATTTGATCCTGCCATTATGATGCTAGCTGGCATTATTTTGCCCATTAGTTTATGCAGTTTCTTCCTAGCATTGATGGTATTTACAGTTTGGTATGTTTTTGTAGTAGCTGAACCAGTTGTTCCTTTCCATGTTTGGTGCTTCTTTCAGGAACTCTTGTAAGACAGGCCTATGGGGACAAAATCTCTCAACACTTGTTTGTCTATAAAGAATTATATTTCTCCTTTGCTTATGAAACTTAGTTTGGCTGCATATGAAATTCTGGGTTGAAAATACTTTTCTTTAAGTATGTTGAATATTGGTTCCCACTCTCTTCTGGCTTGTAGGGTTTCTGCAGAGAGATCTGCTGTGAGTCTGATGGCCTTCCCTTTGTGGGTATCCTGACCTTTCTCTCTGGCTGCCCTTAGCATTTTTTCCTTCATTTCAACCTTGGTGAATCTGATAATTATGTATCTTGGGGTTGCTCTTCTCAAGTAGTATCTTTGTGGTTCTCTGTTCTTCCTTAATTTGAATGTTGCCCTGCCTTTCTAGGTGGGTGAAGTTCTCCTGGATAAAATCCTGAAGAATGTTTCTAACGTGGTTTCATTCTCCCCTTCACTTTCAGGTATACCAATCAAACATAGATTTGGTCTCTTAACATAATCCCATATTTCTTGGAGTCTGTTTCATTTCTTTTCACTTTTTTGTCTCTAATCTTGTCTTCTTTATTTCATTCAGTTGATCTTCAACTTCTGATATCCTTTCTTCCTCTTGATTGGTTCAGGTATTAAAACTTGTATATACTTCACAAAGTTGTCTTGCTGTGTTTTTAAGCTCCATCAGGTCATTTATGTTCTTCTCTAAACTGGTTATTCTAGTTAGCAATTCATCTAACTTTTTTTCAAGGTTCTTAACTTCCTTGCATTGGTTTAGAACATGCTCCTTTAGCTTGGAGGAGTTTGTTTTATCCACCTTCTGAAGCCTGCTTCTGTTAGTTCATCAAACTCATTTACCACCTAGTTTCGTTCCCTTGCTGGTGAGGAGCTGTGATCCCTTAAAGAAGAAGAGGTGTTCTGATTTTTGGAGTTTCCAGCCTTTTTGTGCTGGTTTCTTCCCATCTTCGTGGATTTATCTTCCTTTGCTCTTTGAGGTCAGTGAACTTTGGATAAGGTCTCTGAGTGTTCATCCTTTTTGTTTATGTTGAAACTATTTCTTTCTGTTTGTTACCTTTCCTTCTAATAGGCCACTCTGCTTCAGGTCTACTGGAGTTTGATGGAGGTCTACTATAGACCCTGCTTGCCCAGTTATCACTGGTGGAGTCTGCATAACAGCAAATATTGCGGCCTGTTCCTTCCTCTGCTGGCTTCGTCCCACAGGAGTATCTTCCAGATGCCAGTCAGAGCTCTCCTGTATGTGGGTCTGTCAGCCCCTACTGGGAGCTAACTTCCAGTCAGGATATACAGGGGTCAGGAAGTGACTTGAGGAGGCAGTCTGTCCCTTATCAGGACTCAAACGCAGTGTTGGAAAATCTCCTGCTCTCTTCAGAGCTGCCAGGCAGGGACGTTTAGGTCTACTGAAGCTGTACCCACCACAGTCCCTTTTCCTAGGTGTTCCATCCCAGGAAGGTGGGGGCTTTGTTTATAAGTCCCTGATAGGCTGCTGCCTTTTTTCAGAAATGACCTGCCCAGCAAGGACATCTAATGAGACAGTGCCTGCAGCTTCTGGGCTGTGTTGGGCTCTGCCCAGTGAGTTTTCCCAGCAGCTTTGCTTACACTGTGGGGTTGAAACCACCTACTCCAACCTCAGATATAGCAGACACTTCTCCCCCAACCAAGCGCAAAGGTCCCAGGTCGAGCTCAGACTGCTGTGCTGGCTGCAAGAATTTCAAGCCAGTGGAGCTTAACTTGCTGGTCTCAGTGGAGGAGGGGCCTGCCAAGCCAGACCACTTGGCTCCCTGGCTTCAGCATTTTTTCAATGGGAGTGAAGAGTTCTGTCTCACTGGTGTTCCATTTGCCATGGGGGTATAAAAAAAAAACTGCAGCTAGCTTGGTTTGTTCATACTGCCACCCAGTTTTGTGCTAGAAACCCAGAGCCCTGGTGGTTGTGTATGTACTAGAGGGAAGCTCCTGGTCTGTGAGTTGTGAAGACAATGTGAAAAATGCAGTATCTAGGCTGGAGTGCAGGAAATTGTCTCTAATTACTTTCCTTGGCTAGGAGAGGGAGTTCCCTGGACCCTTGTGCTTCTCAGGTGAGGCAACATCCCACCCTGCTTTGGACCACCCTCCTTGGGCTGCACTCACTGTTCAACCAGTCCCGGTGAGATGAACCAGGTACCTCAGTTGTAAATGTGTAAATCACCCACTTCCTTCATCGATCTTGCTGGGAGCTGCACAGCAGAGCTGTTCCTGTTTGACCAACTTGCCCAGGGACTCCAAGCTTGAATTTCTTAAATAGTCATTATTATTGATGAAAATGCTAAATAAGCCTTAGAGTATGTGTTGCTGCTTTAATGATTTGCTGAGTTTAATTAATAAACATTAATACCTCATCAATGAAATATTATTTAAGGTTATATGAGAATTGTTAATCTAGTAAAATTTGATACATGGATACTTACCAAACATAAAAATTAAACCAAGATCACATTGTATAAAATTGTGCTAACCAAAATCAGAACAAAGTTAATCAAATTAATTTCTAAAAGGTTCAACTATTTTGTGTCTCAGGCTTATGATGATGGCTACGGGGGTGAATATGATGACCAAACCTATGAGGCTTATGATAACAGCTATGCGACCCAAACACAAAGGTAAGGCATTTGCTGTCTAAAGCATCCTTCTCAGGATTATCTCTAATCCATTTTGTTTCTTGAATCTGAATGTCAGTTATATCATGTGAGAATTTCTAGTAGTGTTTGTTCTCCATTATCACTCTGAATTATTAAGTTGCTTACCAGCCTGTGAGAGGTAAAGTGTAATGATCTTGCAACTGCAAACAATGAAATAGTGTGTTATTCCGAGACTGGATGATTATGGGAACCAATCAACTCATCAAATAAGCTTGTATTTAACTAAATAATGTTATTTTTAGAATTTTTTTTAAAAGACGATAATAAAAGTAAGGTGCTTGTTCAATTTGGCTTTTTTTCCTAAAATGTCTTATTTATTTGTAAAAGGTAATGAAATGTCCTTGTTACTCTGGAAAGAGGGAAATTCTTGAAATGTCTTAGGGAATCAAGAATTCCTTTGCTTCTTTGATAGATCTTTTATTGATTGTTGAATATATCTCTATAGATTGACCCAAAATTTGTGATATAAATTATTTTTTACTTCTTTAAAATCAGATTTATTGAAATTTTATTTATATATAATAAGATTTACCCATTTAGAATACAGCTGTATACATTTGGCAGATGAAAACTACTGTGTAATGACCACCAAAATTAAGATATAGAGCATTTTCATCATCCAGAAATGCTTCTTCATGCCCCTTTGTAGTCAACTTCTCCCTCGTCCTCAGGCCCTGGAAACCAACCATCTGTTTTTCACTAACATAGTTTTACCTTCTCTAGAATGGCTTGTAAGTAGAAGCAAAACAATAAGGTAACCTTTTGAGTCTGGTTTTTATTTTTTGTTAATATGAATAAAATTGGTGTAAAACAAATGTATTTTTAGAAAACTCAATCATTCAAGTTATTTTTTTATATAAAAAGTGACATAGGAAAATACAGGAGGTCTATGTGATAGTTAAGTGAGTCTTCCATTTATGTGACTGACAGAAGCCAATGGATCTTATTGTTATAAAATCATTATAGCATTCATCATTTATTGACCAACTTTATTGGCACCCAAGGAGACTTAATAAGCCTCCTTTAGGACTTAAATAATATTTGAGTGAAGAGAAGTGGCAAAAACAACTTTAAGGTCATTATAGATTAGAAGAAATCTACATGTATTGCAAAAATTTGGATTTTCCATGGCCTGGGTGACAGCACAGTAAAAGAATTGAAGGGAAATTTTATTTAGAGAGAATACTGTAGGCCATTAGAAAAAAGATGACTGTGAATTGATACCCTTAAAGCTAAGCATGACTTAAGTTATCACTATGGAAATGGCCATCGTTGACACTGAGTAATTAGTTAATTTGTAATAGGTTAAATAGAGAAGCCATCATGAGCCAAGAGTTTCTGGGGCAATATCTTAATTGTCCCAATTGTATATTGGAAAACAGCACAGTTATTTAGGCTTTGGGTAAGTTTTGCATCACATTACAGATACTGAACAGAGTATTGTTTGCAAATTGGCTGCATATTTAGACCATCTGCTAATATTTTCAATCAAATTGTTAGTTTATCATTATACATTAGCACATGAAATTGTTGATAACAAAGTTCCATAATGTTTCAGAAACCCTTGATAGAAAGTGTAGTGACCACACACTACAAACACAATTAGAAGAGACTAAAATAATTCCTTGATGGAGCTCTGTAGAGCTACATTTAAATAGGAGAAAATTTGGAATAATTTTGTGAAAATGAGGGACTTTCTCTTCTGATCAGATTTAAATGGGCTTAAATGACCCTAAGAAAAGAAAAGAAAAATATAGGATTAAGATAATTTAGCTTTTAATATTTAAAAAGTGAATATTGGAATTATTGAACATACACCTATATACATAAAGTAATGGATATAAACAATAATTTTATAATCAAATTTGCTTTAAAATAATTTATATGTAAAGGGACATTTTCTAAACACTTCTGCTGCCTTCCCTGGCTCCTTTCCTATCTACTCAATTTTTATAACTAAATTCTTCCCATCCTTCCAGCCCCAGCTCAAAAGCCAACTCTTCTAAAAAGTCTTATCTTTATTATATTTGGGGGAATCATCTGTTACTGCCCTGAATTCCAGTAGCATCACATATTTACTTTTCTATAGCATTTATTTATCTGCCTTACATTGGGATTAATTATACGTATGTCCCTTATCATTTTTGCTATTTGTTCAAAATCCTTTTCTAATACAGCCTCTTGTCCTTCACAATACCAGGTATGAGGTCTTTCATGGGGTGTGAATTGAAGGGATAATTGTTGAGTACACGAATGTCGAGCATATTTTTCTACACTATGGGGATACAAAATAAGAGCCTCATTCTTGAAAGAGTACAAAGTTAAGAAGTACATAAATCACATTTACTGACATAATACTTATGTGCTTCTCTGATACTTTACTATTAAATCAGAGGGACAAAGAAAGTAGGTGATGAAATTAGTTGCAGTGATATTAATGCTCTATATTACAATAATGATAAAATGCCTATTTTGGTCAAAATTATATCCTCAATACTAGTATAGTTTCTGGCACACTAGAGGTTCTCAATAAAGATTCATTGAATAAATAAATGAAAAATGAGTAAATGCATTGAGTGAAATACTTTTTCAGAAACTCTGTGATAAAGAATTTTTTAAATATGCCAATTTCTAATAGGAATGGATACACACTAGAACACTTTTAGATAAGGTGTTTAATGCCTGCCTTTAGATTACTTCTTTTTTAAGTCAATTAGATTTGATCAAAATTAAATTTTGTTCTCTAAAAGACACGGTTATTTAATAAAACGGCAAGCCACAAACTGTGAATCCATATTAGCAAAACATATTTCTAAAGAATATCTTTGTATATCTTTGATTGGATCCAAAATATGCAAAAACAACTAAAACTTTAGAATAGAAAAAATAAACTGACTTTTAAAAATGGGCAAAATACTTGAGCAAACATTTCACCAAATAAGATATACAAATTGCAAATAAGAGTCAAAAAATATGTTCAACATCATTATTCAGTAGGAAAATTGAAATTAAAACCACAATTAGATACTAGTACACAGATTGTAGAATGGCTAACATTAACCAGATTGAATTATCAGATGTTAGTGAGGATGTAGAGCAACTGCAACCCTCATATACTGCTGATAGGGATGTAAAACTGTAAACCAGTTTAGAAAACAATTAGGCAGTTGCTTATAAAGTTGACCTACAATTACCATATGACTGGCATTTCTTCTCTTTGGTATTTGCCCAAGTGAAATGAAACATGTATCTATCATGGAGGTTGTTGTACAGATTACTTCATTACTCAGGTATTAAGCCTTGTTTGTATTGTCAGTTATCTTTCCTGATCCTCTCCCTCCTCCCAAAGCCCAAAAGGCCCCAGTGTGTGTTGCTCCCCTCTGTGTGCCCATATGTTCTCATCATTTAGCTCCCACTTACAAGTGGGAATGTGTGGTATTTTGTTTTCTGTTTCTATGTTAGTTTGCTAAGGATAATGGCTTCCAGCTCCATCCATGCCCCTACAAAGACATGATCTTCTTCTTTTTTATGACTTCATAGTATTCCATAGTGTGTGTGTGTGTGTGCGCGCACACATTGTGTGTGTGTGTGTGTGCATGTGTGTGTATGATGGGCATTTTCTTTATCCAGCCTATCAGTGATGGGCATTTAGGTTGATGCCATGTCTTTGCTATTGTGACTAGTGCTGCAGTGAACATACATGTGCATGTGTCTTTATAATAGAATGATTTATATTCCTTTGGGTATATGCCCAGTAATTGGATTGCTGGGTAGAATGGTATCTATGCTTTAGGTCTTTGAGGAATCACTACATTGTCTTTCCACAATGGCTGCACTAACTTAATAACAAACCTGCACTTGTACCCCTGAACTTAAAAGTTAAAATATATATATATGCATATATATATGTATATATATAGTAAAAAAAGGAGATAAAGTCACCCAAAAATAGCATTGTGAATATATTTATCAATGTATCATCTTTTTATCTATCTTTCATGTGTGTTAATACATCTTCCCATATTTGAAATCATATATTGCAAACTGTTTGGAAATTTAACTCTCAAGCGCATAAGAACATCTTTCTATGTTAATAAATGCATGTCTACAACATAATCTTTAATGGCTGTAGATTGTTTCATTGTATGATTGGATCACAATTTAATCATTCTAGTACAGTTAACTGTTCATTTTCAGTTTTTCATAACTCTAAACAGATATGTGATTCATATCTTTGTGGCTAAGTATCTTTTTTTCTTCAACTTTTATTTTAAATTCAGGGGTACATGTGCAGGATGTTCAGGTGTATTACACAGGTAAACAAGTGCCATGGTGGTTTGCTGAACAGATCATACCATCTCCTAGATATAAAGCCCAGCATCCATTAGCTTTTCTTCTTGATGCCCTCCCTCCCTCCATCACAGTATGATATTGGCTGTGAGTTTATAGTTCTGTGGGGTCAGTGGTGATATCCCCCTTATCATTTCTGATTGTGTTCATTTGATTGTTTCTTCTTCTTTATTAGTGTAGCTGCAGTCTATTTTATTAATTGTTTCAAAAAACCAGCTCCTGGATTCACTGATTTTCTGAAGGGCTTTTCATGTCTCTGTTTCTATCAGTTCTACTTTTGCCTTGGTTATTCCTGTCTCCTACTAGCTTTGGGGTTGGTTTGCTGTTGGTTCTCTAATTCTTTTAGTTGAAATTTTAGACTGTTGACTTGAGATCTTTCTAGCTTTTTACAATGGGCATTTAGTACTATAAATTTCCCATTTAACAGTGCTTTAGCTGTGTCCCAGAGATTCTGGTACATTGTCTCTTTGTTCTTATTCGTTTCCAAAAACTTCTTGATTTCTACCTCATTTACCCAAAAGTCATTCAGGATCAGTTGTTCATTTTCCATATAGTTGTGTGATTTTTAGGGAATTTCTTAATTTTGAGATCAAGTTTGATTGCAGTGTGCT